TTGCATCTGAATCGGCGCTACGGCCTTCCCTCGGCCTTGCACGACACCTGTGGAAACGACGACAGCAAGGGGCCGACTGGCCACCAGACCTAAATAGGTGCTCGCTAACGGAGGGCGTCGGGTTGTGTCGCCTCGCGCGCCACTCCGCGTGTCGGCGTCACCCCTCGCTGCGACGCCGCCGGGGCTGGAGGAGCACGCCGGTTGACGCCGCACGAGCGACGTGAGGCTCCCTCCCTTGGTGGTGGCGCCACGGTGGCTCGGAGATGTTAACTACCTCGCCTGGTATACAGGAGGTCGTGGGTTCGATCCCGACCCTGACGCCTGCTGTATAATTGGGGTTTGCGTGTCTCTCTCTCTCCGTGTTGAGATGTTAACTACCTCGCCTGGTCTACAGGAGGTCGTGGGTTCGATCCCGACCCTGACGCCTGTTGTATATTTGGGGTTTGCGTGTCTCTCTCTCTCCGTGTTGAGATGTTAACTACCTCGCCTGGTCTACAGGAGGTCGTGGGTTCGATCCCGACCCTGACGCCTGCTGTATATTTGGGGTTTGCGTGTCTCTCTCTCTCCGTGTTGAGATGTTAACTACCTCGCCTGGTCTACAGAAGGTGGTGGGTTCGATCCCGACCCTGACGCCTGCTGTATATTTGGGGTTTGCAGTATCTCTCTCTCCGTGTTGAGATGTTACCTACCTCGCCTGGTCTACAGGAGGTCGTGGGTTCGATCCCGACCCTGACGCCTGCTGTATATTTGGGGTTTGCAGTATCTCTATCTCCGTGTTGAGATGTTAACTACCTCGCCTGGTCTACAGAAGGTGGTGGGTTCGATCCCGACCCTGACGCCTGCTGTCTAATTGGGGTTTGCAGTATCTCTCTCTCCGTGTTGAGATGTTAACTACCTCGCCTGGTATACAGAAGGTGGTGGGTTCGATCCCGACCCTGACGCCTGCTGTATAATTGGGGTTTGCAGTATCTCTCTCTCCGTGTTGAGATGTTAACTACCTCGCCTGGTATACAGAAGGTGGTGGGTTCGATCCAGACCCTGACGCCTGCTGTATATTTGGAGTTTGCGTGTCTCTCTCTTCCCGTGGTCACGTCGATTTTTCTCCGGGGTTCCTCCGGTTTTTTTCCCCTCCAACATTTAGAATCAACATCGCCACTCATTCAGGGTATACTTGGCTGCTGCTATACATTTCCACGTGATGATAAGCCACTTCGTTGAGCTCTCATTTGTGATAGCCAGGTCGCTGCTGAAAAGGAGCTACAGTATATTGCTCAGTGGGTCTTACATGGTAAAATAAATAAAATGTATTACACGCTGGGGACGGACTGTGATGTCCTTAGCATCGACATCAACACCACTCCCCACTCCCCCGCTCCCTCCAAAATACCAACACCGGAACCCTCTCCACTGTCCTTGTCTCTGCCTCTGTGAATGAATACCCTCCGTGTGACAGTGTGTCGATGTTTCTCAAGGTTTGGTGGATCACTTAGAGATATATGATAGTCACAAAACCCGCTGTGCAGCGCGCGGTGGAGGGTTGTCCACGAGATGGTGGTATCCGCACTGCATGCCAAGTGGGCTCGTGAACCCGTCTGTGCATCAACCCCCTGGCGTTTCTCTCCGGGTTCTCTGGATCTCCTCCCACAGGGAGCCAATCACTCGTGATGAGGAATTGCCCAAACATCCCAATGCAGGAACCCTCCTTAGAAGAGTCTTGGGAATGAGTGAGGCTTTCCTTGACAGCGGGCAGTCCGGGTCTCACGGCTGGCCCGTATCGGCCCACATCGGGGTTCTCAATGCCAGCAGCAGCTGTGCGAATAAAACGAAACTAGAAACGAAACTATTTTTTTTTGTATTTCACCAGGTATTGCCCCACTGAGCTATTTTCCAGAAGCCACCTGACCACAAACGACAGCCCAAATGAAAGTGGCATATCGCGCGGAAATGTTTCGCAACCAAATACTCTAAAAGCACGTTGATTCTAAGTCTTGAGGGAACCCCGGTAAACAAAAAAAACCACGTGACCACGGAGAGAACGTGCAAACTCCAAATATACAGCAGGCGTCAGGGTTGGATGGAACCCACGACCTCCTGCGTACCAGGTGAGGGAGTTAATATTTGTCCACCGGGGCGTCCGAGTAATTTGTGTTTGCTGGTAAGCGCGGAGTGTGCCGAGGTGGCGGGGTGGTGGCCCACGGGCCCGAGATGAATAATAACTAGCTTCATATTCCAGAAAACACACACACCGAGTCGTAACATTCTTCTTCAGGAGGCTCCTGCTGCTACAATGGGTTTATATTTTAAGATGTCTTCAGCCAATTAATGATGAGTTGTGTTTGTTACAGACGTGGGAGAAAACCCACGCCGGCGAGGGGGCAACACTCTATGCCCGCACAGATGGAAACCGATGTTGACGAGTCGATTTGCTGTACCGCCTTCTCCTGGCCAGCCAGGGTACGCTACGGTACCTCATCGACGCCCGCGAGAAGGGAGTTTAACAACATCTCTGCGGTGATCCACGAACCCTCGCTGCTGCCTCCACAGCGCTGGATTACCACAGCCAGCCACGTGCAGCAGCGTAGCCACCACCGCAGAGACCTGGGTTCGTATCCGGGATGCAGCCGCCCGTGACAGTCAACCAGGACTGCACACAAAGTCCCATCGCCTCGCATCTCATTCACCGTGGTATCAAGTCCGGCCGTCAGCATTTAAAACATCGGGCTGACCGTCATTTCGGGCCCGGTGAGTAGGTACCGTACCCTAATATTCGTGGATAAGAAGTCACTTTGGATTTCGGAAGAAGCTCTGTGATAACCTCTTCCGGGACGCCACGGTGGCTAGGAGATGTTAACTACCTCGCCTGGTATGCAAGATGTCGTAGGTTCGATCCCGACGCTGACGCCTGCTGCTGTATATTTGTAATTTGTGTCTCTCTCTCCCCGTTGGTCGCGTGGATTTTTCTCCGGGTCCTCTCGTTTTTCCCCTCCACTTTTAGAATCAACATCACCACGCGTTTACAGTCTCTGGCTGCTACGCATTTCCACATGCGCTATTACTTGTGGGCATTCATTTGTGGCCAGGTGGCTTATGAAAAAGAGCTATATGGCTCCACGGGGCCCTAACCTGGTAAGATAACAAAAAATGAAAAATAGTTCTCTAACAAGAGAGGGTGCGCGGCTCTGCGAGAGTTCCCGATGGGCTCGTCGTCGTCCCACCGCGCGATGCCGATAGCCCAAAGTGCACAAAACCTCGTCAAGAGACCCAGACTAAAGTCCGTCACTACCAGCAACCATTATCGTCAGCAGCACCACCACGACCTCCACCAGTAGCATCGACTCTCCATCGCCCAGTGGTGAAAATGTGAGCTCATTCATCCAACTGTCTTAGCGCACACGCATCCGTGCCATTAAAATTGTATAAAACCCAGAAGCAAGGGGCGGCGGCCACACGGGGTTCGTGGTGTTTGGGATCATCGGCGTTTAATGCACAAACCCAGTCCGCTTTGGACAACGCACACTCGCACACGGCGCGACTCGACTGCAAACACGACCCGGAGAGGCGACGGCGCCGCGGCATCTCAGCTCGAACCTCTCACGTGGGAGCATCCCCCTAGAAGGGGCCCAGGGAGTGACGCACGCACGCGCACACACACACACAGACACAAAGACAGAGACCCCCCCATATAGCCTTACGCAGGCTGTTAGCGAGAACCCACGAAAGCATCCACGGTGCACGAGACAGGGGCGGTGGCCAGCAAAGCGCCCGGCCGCCTTTGTCTCCCCAGTGTCAATGTTTACACACTTCACCGGATACTCATTGAAGGCTGAGTGAACCTAGAGGAGGCCCGGGACCGATTCAGATAATCGTCACTGGTGGTGGTGGCCGTGAGCAGGGAATCGAGCTCCGGTCGCTGGATTTGTAGCGCAGTGCACTAACCGCTGCACTACCGCTCCCCGTATATACACACGCACAATTACAAAGATCCCCGTATAGCCTTAAGTGACTTTTGTGGCAAGTGCTGTTCGTGAACAGCTATGAAGGCCGGCACGGCGCACAAGGGAGTGGGTGGCCAGCACCACGCCCGAACGCCTTTGTCTCCCCAGTGGCGATGTTTACACATCGCACCAGGTACTCATTTGAGGGTGAGTCGACCTAGGGGAGGCTCAGGGCAGGTTAAGATAATCGTCGCGGGTGTTGGCCGTGAATACACTCAGATACACACACGCATAGCAAATATGTCACTGCAATATGCAAGCAATTACAATGTATAACTTATACAGCACAGTATGTGTGTGTGTGTGTCCAATCAACGTCTCTCTCAGTGTCCTGTATATACACGACCCGAACAGAAAGCCGGCCGCCCCCTCGGAGGAGCGAGAGGCCCCCCCCCCGACCCCTGGATTGGCACCCCAGTGACCCCGCCCCCTTACTCGACCCTCGCTGGTGTTCACAAGCGCGACACTTCGCGACACTTCGCGACATCGCCCCCACCCCCCCCCCCCCGGGCAGCAACGTGACCACGGTGGTTTTGTGCGTGACTCCACGTGACTGGCTTCGACGTTCGCAAAAAAAACTCATCAGCAGCCCCGTTGGTGGCGGCCAATTGCGATCGATACCGCCACCGACAACCACCACCATCACCAGCACCACCACACCTCGCAAATCGCTTCCTTCTGCCAGATCCCGCAGCAGTTGCACGGCCGGCATCTATATTGACCTTCATGGTGCGTTGCGTGGCATGCGGACAAAGTCTGTCGGGCGTGTCAGGCTCAATGGTGTGCCAGGTGGTGTGTCAGTAGATAAGTTGTGCCAGGTGGTGTCAGTAGATAAGTTGTGCCAGGTGGTGTCAGTAAATAAGCTGTGCCAGGTGGTGTGTCAGTAGATAAGTTGTGCCAGGTGGTGTGTCAGTAGATAAGTTGTGCCAGGTGGTGTCAGTAGATAAGTTGTGCCAGGTGGTGTGTCAGTAGGTAAGTTGTGCCAGGTGGTGTGTCAGTAGATAAGTTGTGCCAGGTGGTGTGTCAGTAGATAAGTTGTGCCAGGTGGTGTCAGTGGATAAGTTGTGCCAGGTGGTGTCAGTAGATAAGTTGTGCCAGGTGGTGTGTCAGTAAATAAGTTGTGCCAGGTGGTGTGTCAGTAGATAAGGTGTGCCAAGTGGTGTCAGTAGATAAGTTGTGCCAGGTGGTGTCAGTAGATAAGTTGTGCCAGGTGGTGTCGATAGATAAGTTGTGCCAGGTGGTGTGTCAGTAGGTAAGTTGTGCCAGGTGGTGTCAGTAGATAAGTTGTGCCAGGTGGTGTGTCAGTAGATAAGTTGTGCCAGGTGGTGTGTCAGTAGATAAGTTGTGCCAGGTGGTGTGTCAGTAGATAAGTTGTGCCAGGTGCTGTGTCAGTAGATAAGTTGTGCCAGGTGGTGTCAGTAGATAAGTTGTGCCAGGTGGTGTGTCAGTAGATAAGTTGTGCCAGGTGGTGTGTCAGTAGATAAGTTGTGCCAAGTGGTGTCAGTAGATAAGTTGTGCCAGGTGGTGTGTCAGTAGATAAGTTGTGCCAGGTGGTGTGTCAGTAGATAAGTTGTGCCAGGTGGTGTGTCAGTAGATAAGTTGTGCCAGGTGGTGTGTCAGTGAATAAGTTGTGCCAGGTGGTGTCAGTAGATAAGTTGTGCCAGGTGGTGTGTCAGTAGATAAGTTGTGCCAGGTGGTGTGTCAGTAAATAAGTTGTGCCAGGTGGTGTGTCAGTAGGTAAGTTGTGCCAGGCAGGTTTGTCGAGTATATGTATGTGTCATGCAGGTGTGTCAGATTTAGGTGTGTCAGATGAACAGGTGTATTTGTTTTACAGATGTGTCATTAGACTAGTGTGTTAGGTAAACATGTTTGTCGGGTAGATATGCGTGCATCAGGTAGGTAAGGTAGACATGGGTGTATCAGGCTGGTGTATCACTGTAAACAGGTAAGGCAGAGAGGTGCATCAGGCTATACAGGTGCATGCGGCTGTTGTGTTTGGTGAAGTACAGGGGGGTTTCACTGTAATATTGTCCACGTCGCTGGTGGCCCGGAGTAGGCAGAACGTGCCGCACCTGTACAGAGAGGTATACTGGATGCGGTGAACCGGGTGCCGAACACAACAAACTGAATCTCTTGACGAGGACAGAGCCCGGCTAAAGTGAATGTCGCCAAGGCACTGGGGGGTGGAGGAGAGCTTCACAGCGCGACGGGACGAGCTCGCCCGCGCGTCGCGTCCACCCCCATGGGTCTCACCCCCATGGGTGTCACCCCCATGGGTCTCACGGGACAACGCGGGGCGGGTGGGGGGAGGGGAGTGGGGGAAAAGACCCCCCCCCCCCCACACCCACCCCTCCCCCACCCCCCCCGACCCACCGCGTCACACGAAGTGGATCCAGCTTCGGTCGAGCTCCCGCGGTGGCCCCGGGCGCTCGCTGCGCACCTCCAGACGGTAGTTGGCGCCCCCGTTGTTGTCCCAGTGCTCGCGCCCCGCCACGCGGTACCGCACCGCCAACTCGAGCGCGCCGCCCGGCTGCAGGAAGGGCGGCGTGGGCAGCGCGAACGCGAAGCGGTCCGTGCCCGGCGCCGGATTCGGCTCGGCGAGCCCGGGGGGGGCGAAGCGGGCGCGCGCCTCGGCGTGCGTCCTCCACGCGTCGTAGGAGAAGCGCACGGACACCTCCTTCTCGAAGGCCACGTTGAGGACGCGCACGTGGCCCGTCACGCTCAGCTCGCCGGGCGCCACCGACTCGAGGCGCACGAGCTGAGCGCGCAGCCGGGACGCGAACTCGGGGTCGCCCAGCGGCTGCGCGAACGCGGCCTCGAGGCGCGAGCGGCGCAGGGGTTCGGACGCCGACAGCCCTGCCGCTCCGCCTCCTCCCCTCCTCCGCCTCCTCCGCCGCCTCCCGCCCCTTGCCCCCCCGGGCCGCAGCGGCCGCAGCAGCCGCCGGCGCCGTCCCAGGCGTCGAGGCGAGCGAAGCGGGCGAGCGCCCCGCGGTGCAGGGACTCGAGCACGTGCGGCGGCACGCGGGGCTCCTCGGACGAGCTGAAGTGGCGCACGACCGTGAGCTCCAGCCCCAGGGAGTCCGAGAAGCGCACCGACTTGCGGCGGCTGCACGGCGGCTCGGGGGGCGCCGGGCGGCCTGGCACGGACGGCAGCGACTTGGCGCGACGGCGCACGATGGGCGTCGGAGCGAACGGCGGCGGAGCGAACGCGTCGGAGGGGTCGTGCGGCTCGCGGATGACGAGGGCGGACGCGGAGAGGTCTTCTGACCGCAGCTGCTTCCTACCCCGCGGCCTCGCGGAGTCGTGCTCCGCGGCCTCGCCCTGCCCCCCGTGCCCCGGGTCCTGCCCCTGTCCCGCCGCGCTGACGCCGAAGTCGTCGGCGAGGCGCGCGTGCTCGTACAGACCCGAGATGTAGCTCAGATTGCGCGGCATGAAGAGCGACACGAGGCCATCCATGGCGCCGCTCAGCTGCGTGTGACAGCGGACCCCGGGGCGCCTGTGGCTCCAAGTGGAGGAGTGGCGGGCGGGGGGGGGTGGGGTGCAGTCACGGCCAAGGGCACGAGGGAGAGAGAGACGGGAGGGGCGGGGGGAGAGAGGGACACTTAGCGTCAACTCCACGGTGCGGTGCCAAGTTCCAGTCGAGGCCAGCAGCTGCTGCGGTGCCCACGCTGCTCACTGGGATTTAAAAGCCGCCGCCCCTCGCTCGCCCGGTGTCAACACCGGCCCCGTTTCATCATCGCCACCGCCGCCGCCGCCACCACCGCCCATCACCATCATCCCCTGTCACCGTCACCTGTGTGACGAGTCCCGTAAACCAAAATAAAAACCCGCTCGGAAATGACCGCGTCCAATAAAATGGGGGGCGGGGGCGGGGGCGGGGGCGGGGGCAGGGTGCGGATCCTGCGCCCTTCCTGGTCCGAGTTGAACCCCGGCCACCGGTGGCGCGGCGACTCTCACCAACGTCACCCCCCGTCACTCTGCCGCGCCTCATCCGGGGCCCGGAGGCGGAAAATTCGTCGCGACGTCGCGGGTGGGGGGGGGGCGGGGGGGGCGGGGGGGGGGGCGGGGGGCGGGGGGGGTGCGGGGGGTGGGGGGCGGGGCGTGGCCGAGCTCGTGCGAGTTTCGAGTCGAGTGGATGAGCTAGAAGAGAAACCCAAAGCAAGCGGCCAACAACAAGGGGCGGTCGCATTCCTGCGCGCCGCGAACTCGCCAAGGGTGAAGTTTGTCCTTGTAAGGAGGGGCGGGGAGCGACCCCCCAGCCCCCAGCCCCCACCCCGGCGACTTCCCACGCCGTCCGCCCGCGGCCTTGGCGAACGCGGCGCGAACCTCGCCGCGTTCGCCCCCACGCACGGCGACGCCGCAACAAATAAACAACAAATAAACAGCAAATAAACAACAAATAAACAACAAATAAAACACCGCACATGGCGTTGTGTCACTGAGCACACTGCGCGCCAGCGCAGTGTGCTCAGTGACACAGCCGTGAGTGACACACACTCATCATGGTGTGTGTGTGTCACTCACACATCATAGTGAGTGTGTGTCACTCACACACATCATGGTGTGAGTGACACACACACACATGGTGTGTGTGTCACTCACACACATCATGGTGTGAGTGTGAGTGACACACACACACCATGATGTGTGTGTGTGAGTGACACTCACACACACATCATGGTGTGTGTGTGTGAGTGACACACACAGACTGTGTATGAGTGACACACACACACAGGCTGTGTATGAGTGCCACACACACACAGGCTGTGTATGAGTGACACACACACAGAAGGCTGTGTATGAGTGACACACACACAGACTGTGTATGAGTGACACACACAGACTGTGTATGAGTGACACACACACACACAGGCTGTGTATGAGTGACACACACACATCATGGTGTGTGTGTGTGAGTGACACACACAGACTGTGTATGAGTGACACACACACACAGGCTGTGTATGAGTGACACACACACAGGCTGTGTATGAGTGACACACACACAGAAGGCTGTGTATGAGTGACACACACACACAGACGGTGTATGAGTGACACACACAGTGTATGAGTGACACACACACACAGGCTGTGTATGAGTGACACACACACAGACTGTGTATGAGTGACACACACACAGTGTATGAGTGACACACACACACAGGCTGTGTATGAGTGACACACACACACAGACTGTGTATGAGTGACACACACACAGACTGTGTATGAGTGACACACACAGTGTATGAGTGACACACACACACAGGCTGTGTATGAGTGACACACACAAACACAGGCTGTGTATGAGTGACACACACACACAGACTGTGTATGAGTGACACACACACATAGACTGTGTATGAGTGACACACACACAGACTGTGTATGAGTGACACACACACACAGACGGTGTATGAGTGACACACACACAGACTGTGTATGAGTGACACACACAGTGTATGAGTGACACACACACAGACTGTGTATGAGTGACACACACACAGACTGTGCATGAGTGACACACAGAGTGTATGAGTGACACACACACAGGCTGTGTATGAGTGACACACACACACAGGCTGTGTATGAGTGACACACACACAGGCTGTGTATGAGTGACACACACACAGGCTGTGTATGAGTGACACACACACAGTGTATGAGTGACACACACACAGGGTGTGTATGAGTGACACACACACACAGACTGTGTATGAGTGACACACACACAGGCTGTGTATGAGTGACACACACACACAGTGTATGAGTGACACACACACAGTGTATGACACACACAGAGTGTATGAGTGACACACACAGTGTATGAGTGACACACACACTGTGTATGAGTGACACACACACAGTGTATGAGTGACACACACACAGGCTGTGTATGAGTGACACAGTGTATGAGTGACACACACACACTGTGTATGAGTGACACACACACTGTGTACGAGTGACACACACACACAGGCTGTGTATGAGTGACACACACAGTGTATGAGTGACACACACACACAGGCTGTGTATGAGTGACACACACACAGTGTATGAGTGACACACACACTGTGTATGACACACACACTGTGTATGAGTGACACACACAGTGTATGAGTGACACACACACTGTGTATGAGTGACACACACACAGTGTATGAGTGACACACACACAGTGTATGAGTGACACACACACAGTGTATGAGTGACACACACACACAGGCTGTGTATGAGTGACACACAGTGTATGAGTGACACACACACAGGCTGTGTATGAGTGACACACACACAGTGTATGAGTGACACACACACAGAGTGTATGAGTGACACACAGTGTATGAGTGACACACACACACTGTGTATGAGTGACACACACACAGTGTATGAGTGACACACACAGACAGTGTATGAGTGACACACACACAGTGTATGAGTGACACACACACACAGTGTATGAGTGACAGACACACACACACACAGGCTGTGTATGAGTGACACACACACAGACTGTGTATGAGTGACACACACAGTGTATGAGTGACACACAGTGTATGAGTGACACACACACTGTGTATGAGTGACACACACACTGTGTATGAGTGACACACACACACAGTGTATGAGTGACACACACACAGTGTATGAGTGACACACACACACACAGTGTATGAGTGACACACACACAGTGTATGAGTGACACACACACAGTGTATGAGTGACACACAGTGTATGAGTGACACACACACACAGACAGTGTATGAGTGACACACACACACAGGCTGTGTATGAGTGACACACACACAGGCTGTGTATGAGTGACACACACACACAGTGTATGAGTGACACACACACACAGGCTGTGTATGAGTGACACACACACACAGTGTATGAGTGACACACACAGGCTGTGTATGAGTGACACACACACAGTGTATGAGTGACACACACACACTGTGTATGAGTGACACACAGTGTATGAGTGACACTCACACACAGACAGTGTATGAGTGACACACACACACAGGCTGTGTATGAGTGACACACACACACACACACAGGCTGTGTATGAGTGACACACACACACAGTGTATGAGTGACACACACACACAGGCTGTGTATGAGTGACACACACACACAGTGTATGAGTGACACACACACACAGTGTATGAGTGACACACACACACTGTGTATGAGTGACACACACACACAGTGTATGAGTGACACACACACAGTGTATGAGTGACACACACACACAGTGTATGAGTGACACACACACACAGGCTGTGTATGAGTGACACACACACACCATAGACCCAGGCCCCACTGAGACACGGGTCTCCCTTCCCGTCTCCTGTCCCCGCGGGGGATCTTCTCCCCGCTCGCCTCCTCGGCTCCCGGCCCCCTCCCGGCCCCGACGCTCATCGCTCCGCGGGCCCCCCCCCCCCACGACTGCTCTCGCCCCCCCCCCCCCACGACTCCCGCTACGAGCGCTGCGTGACTGCTCTGTGCGCGGTGACGGCGGCAGGACGTGACGCGCCAGAGACACGCCCCCTGGTCCTCATCACATCCTCCACTCTCACCTCATCACATCCTCCACTCTCACCTCATCACATCCTCCACTCTCACCTCATCACATCCTCCACTCTCACCTCATCACATCCTCCACTCTCACCTCATCACATCCTCCACTCTCACCTCATCACATCCTCCACTCTCACCTCATCACATCCTCCACTCTCACCTCATCACATCCTCCACTCTCACCTCATCACATCCTCCACTCTCACCTCATCACATCCTCCACTCTCACCTCATCACATCCTCCACTCTCACCTCATCACAGCCTCCACTCTCACCTCATCACATCCTCCACTCTCACCTCATCACATCCTCCACTCTCACCTCATCACATCCTCCACTCTCACCTCATCACATCCTCCACTCTCACCTCATCACATCCTCCACTCTCACCTCATCACATCCTCCACTCTCACCTCATCACATCCTCCACTCTCACCTCATCACATCCTCCACTCTCACCTCATCACATCCACTCGCATCGCCTCCTACAAGCTCGTCGCATTGCCACCGCTCTCCTCTACTGCACCCCCTCCACCTCGTCCGTCTTCCCCACCTCGTCACATCCTCGGGGTTGGGAAGGCGGGGGGGGGGGCGTTGCCCTCACCTGCCGTGACACCTCATCACCCTCACCTGTCGTGACACCTCATCACCCTCACCTGTGGTGACACCTCATCACCCTCACCTGTCGTGACACCTCATCACCCTCACCTGCCGTGACACCTCATCACCCTCACCTGTGGTGACACCTCATCACCCTCACCTGTGGTGACACCTCATCACCCTCACCTGTGGTGACACCTCATCACCCTCACCTGTCGTGACACCTCATCACCCTCACCTGTGGTGACACCTCATCACCCTCACCTGTCGTGACACCTCATCACCCTCACCTGTCGTGACACCTCATCACCCTCACCTGCCGTGACACCTCATCACCCTCACCTGTCGTGACACCTCATCACCCTCACCTGTGGTGACACCTCATCACCCTCACCTGTCGTGACACCTCATCACCCTCACCTGTGGTGACACCTCATCACCCTCACCTGTGGTGACACCTCATCACCCTCACCTGCCGTGATACCTCATCACCCTCACCTGTCGTGACACCTCATCACGCTCACCTGTCGTGACACCTCATCACACTCACCTGCCGTGACACCTCATCACCCTCACCTGTCGTGACACCTCATCACCCTCACCTGTCGTGACACCTCATCACGCTCACCTGTCGTGACACCTCATCACACTCACCTGCCGTGACACCTCATCACCCTCACCTGTCGTGACACCTCATCACCCTCACCTGTCGTGACACCTCATCACCCTCACCTGTCGTGACACCTCACCTGTCGTGACACCTCATCACCCTCACCTGTCGTGACACCTCATCACCCTCACCTGTCGTGACACCTCATCACCCTCACCTGTCGTGACACCTCATCACCCTCACCTGTCGTGACACCTCATCACCCTCACCTGTCGTGACACCTCACCTGTCGTGACACCTCATCACCCTCACCTGTCGTGACACCTCATCACCCTCACCTGTCGTGACACCTCATCACCCTCACCTGCCGTGACACCTCATCACGCTCACCTGTGGTGACACCTCATCACCCTCACCTGTCGTGAGATCTCACCACCCTCACCTGTCGTGACATCATCACCCTCACCTGCCGTGACATCATCACCCTCACCTGTGGTGACACCTCATCACCCTCACCTGTGGTGACACCTCATCACCCTCACCTGTCGTGAGATCTCACCACCCTCACCTGCCGTGACATCATCACACTCACCTGCCGTGACACCTCATCACCCTCACCTGTCGTGACATCATCACCCTCACCTGTGGTGACACCTCATCACACTCACCTGCCGTGACACCTCATCACGCTCACCTGCCGTGACACCTCATCACCCTCACCTGTCGTGACATCATCACCCTCACCTGTGGTGACACCTCATCACCCTCACCTGTCGTGACACATCACCACCCTCACCTGTCGTGACACCTCACCTGTCGTGACACCTCATCACCCTCACCTGTCGTGACACCTCATCACCCTCACCTGTCGTGACCACCTCATCACCCTCACCTGCCGTGACATCACCACCCTCACCTGTCGTGACACCTCATCACCCTCACCTGCCGTGACATCATCACGTTCACCTGCCGTGACACCTCACCTGCCGTGACACCTCATCACCCTCACCTGCCGTGACACCTCATCACCCTCACCTGTCGTGACACCTCATCACCCTCACCTGTGGTGACACCTCATCACGCTCACCTGCCGTGCTGTTGCTGCTGCTGCTGCTCTGGGCGAGGGTTCGGGTAAAGTGACGTGATAATTATCGCCGCTGCTGCTGCTGCTGTGAATCGGGTGGCTATTGTTCCCGGCAGAACAATGGGCGACGTGTTCCGGGCTCGGGGGGCCGGGGTGCCAAGCCGTGCCGCCAGGGGTCACGGCCTTCCCGAGTGCGTGCAAGCACACCAAGGACACGACTGGAACCAAAATACTGGGTGCTTCAAAAAAATGTGAACACTTGGGAGAATTTACAACAGCACCACAAGAAATGTGGAGACCACCTGGAGAAGATTCCAGACACGTGTTGACCATTCTTGCGAACAAGCGGAGACTCTTGACTTTTAGAAGCTATTATCATACATCCTGCGACTTCCTTTGCCACTAACAAAATGTGACAATAGGTTTTCCCCCTTTTTTCTGGCCACAAAACAGGTATTGAGATGTTAAAACACCAAAACTGAAACCTTTTACGAGGAATCATGTCTGCTTTAACCACAATACTTGTGGTCAGAATGCAAACAACAACAAAAAACATGTTAAAGTGTATTATCCGTTCTATTTCCATTAAAAACGATAGTCGCATATAGTCGTTATAAAAATGTTTAAGCACCCCGTATATACAGATGCAGTATATGTTTACACATCCCAGCAGCCTCACGGCCATCTCGGAGTGCTCATGTTATTTATTTTGTTGCGTAGAGTTTTGGGTCCAACTCCGACCCAGCAAGCCCGGACTCTGGGGCTGCTGCTGATGATGAGTCACTAAATGTCGATGCCGGTACTGTTGAGTTTCGCTTGTGTTGAATCAATGCTGTTTTTAAAAGAAATTCACTCGTAGGAAGGAAGGCCCGTGCGGCTGATGGAATGTGTAAAAACATACTTTTTTTTCTATTTTTTTAAGCGGAGGGGACAATATCTTGGGATATTTTTTGCCAGTATGAAAAATAAGAATAGGGTCTACCCTTTCTTACAATGGAATAGGACGCGTTAAGATGTTCAGACGCCAACTAGAAATCTTTTGCAATGAATCAAGAATGCATTAATGCAGTACTTGATTCTTTGCAAAAGGTTTATATTTGGTGTTTGGACATCTTAACACAACTCAACCCTATTGTGGAGGGGACAAGAACGGGGAGGAGATGAGCCGTCCGCTCATCAAAAGGGGGCAGACCGGGACCTCGACGCAGTCATCCGGCGCACAAACTCATGGGGGAGATGAACGATGGAAAATCGACGATTATATTTGCTGCTGCTGCAATATGGATTTATGGATTCAGGACGTGAGGCCGCCCCGCCCCCTACTGACCCCGCCCACCCCCACTGACCCCGCCCACCCCTACTGACCCCGCCTACCCCCACTGACCCCGCCTACCCCTACTGACCCCGCCTACCCCCACTGACCCCGCCCACCCTTTCCTACTGAATCAGAATATGTATTTGTACTGGAGGAATCCGATGAGCTATAAAGCTCATTTTCACAGATGTCCAGTAGTTTCACTGATACTCAAAAAACATGCCTACCCCTACCTACTGACACCACCCACCACAACCTACTGGCTCCGCCCACCACTACTAAAATATAACGAGGCGACGTTTCGGGCAATGGCCCTTCATATACTGCAACAGCCGCATCCTCCGAACTTGCGATGCCATAGTTCATGGAAACTCGATACTTACAGCCACACAACAACCTTAAATAATTTGAGACCGAAATGAAAACTCCCAACTTTGTAAATAAGGTCCATGGGCTCTAAACATTTGCTTGCAATACACAGTTTCTCTTGTTAGGAATTGTTTACGATGACTGTGTGAATTAGTTTAAATCCAACGACCAAACGCGGTCCCGCGATGCTCTGATGTTGAGGGGCTGATAGGGTTGTTTCGTGTAGTTTGTGGGTCATGGCTTGGTTCATGTCGTGGAGGAATTTGAAACTGGCACGAGGCCAGTACTGGATACGGTAGGACGAGCTACTGGAGGGGAGGGGACGCACGGTGGCTTGAGAAGCGACCCAGACTGGAATTCATGGTCAAATCGCCCTGGGATGTGCTCCAACTGGTCAAAGAGCTCGCAAGCCAAGCCGAGTTGAGCCTGGGTCGTGTTTCGATGGTGCTTTCGCCGATTCGTCAAAGCGGCCGTTGTAGTCATCTTGACTCGAAGCTTTCGTGACTGCAGGAATCCATACTCGTTGATTCTTTCGGCGAAGTCACGTAGGAAGAAAATAAGATAAATCACGACGTTTGTGTTGCGCCCGAAAATGTTATTTATTTTATACCCACGTGACTTTACCGAAATAACACAACGTGTCGTTGTAGGCTACGGACTGCGGTACGGGGATGTGAACAGCAGAGGGCGGTAGTGCAGCAACATCCACTGTCCTCTGCTGAACTCCCCATCTGTCTGCTCCCCTCATTCACCAACGCGCACTGACAATCGCGGTCAAATAAGGTCAAACGACCCGCGTCCAGCAGTGGGTTTGATAAAGGGCGGTGCGTGTGCATGTTTAATACAGTCAAAAAAGTCGAGCTGTACTACAACTAAGCCATCGGGCCCTGTTCACAGTGACTGCCCCAACCAATGACGGGGCAATTCTGCAGGGTGAACTGGTAACGAATGGGCACGTTTTGTTTACGTGACCAACTTCACTAATTGGCTGTGTCTGGCGGTGGCGGGTTTAACAAAACGTTTACATTTACGAGATCGAACCCACCCCCCCCCCCTTAAAAAAACCCTTTCTAAGTGCGATTCCATTTTACAGACGCAAATATCTGCTCGATTGTTGCATTTCCCTCCCATCGTGTCTCCTTCCCCAAGCTCCCACGATAATAACCTGGCTCGGCTCAAGAAACCGTGTACTGCGGCACTCGTGTCTGACCACCACAGCACGCTGCCCGCCTCGCGCGTGGAGGCACTCTGGGGCCTGCGTGCCCAGCGACTTGTGTAGAACCAAGACACGCAGAACCAGCCGGTGTCGCGAGATCCCACACAGAGACGTCTCTGCTCCACCGCCCCCTGGCGACAGCCACCACCACCGCCGCCAGCAGCACCAGCATCGTTCCTTGACACATCATCCAGCAACCCCCCCCCCCGCCCCCCCCCCCCCACGGCAGGCAGGCCATGGAGCTACGCGCTTTGCACGCTGCCCAACGGGGCGCTCTGTGGACGCTTTATTCAACAGAAATGCCACGCGCATTGCACATTCCAGCGGTGCGAGCGAACGAGCCGGCCGAGAGTTCCGCTGTGGGGTGGGGACAGGACGGGGGCGGGGGGGGTGGCAGCGATGGCCCCCCACAATTCCCCTGACCCCCCCTCCCCCCCAGTATGTTGTTTATATCGCGATCAACCCCATCCTATAGACCTCGCTGGATGATGCGCGTGGGACAACAACCCAGGTCTGTCTGTCAACGACGTCGGGGTGTGATTGGTGTGCCACAGGCCCTGTGGCAGAGCCGGTCCGCGTGCCGTAACCGATCTCACGATTCGCGGTCGCGACTGGGAGGATGTTTAGTTTTGCCCTCGCGATGATCGCGGATTCTTTCCGCAGTCTGCGGGTACTCGGGCGGACTGCCGACGCGTCGAAGAGACAGCGGGCTTCTTGCTGTGCGCGAGGTAGCAGCGCCAGTGTCCGCCAGGCGATCTTGCTCATCACCGGATCGTCAATTGCCTAATTGACGTCCTTCACGAGGAGACCAATGCTTCCTCAAACTTCACAACAGACACTCATGTCCCGGTGTCACAGAGATTATGTCGCGGTTACTTACTGGTGTGGCACTGCCGTGTTGCCGGTGTGTTAGTGGTGTGGTACCTGTGTACTTGTGTGGTACCTGTGTACTGGTGTGGTACCTGTGTACTGGTGTGGTGCCTGTGCACTGGTGTGGTACCTGTGTACTGGTGTGGTACCTGTGTACTGGTGTAGTACCTGTGTACTGGTGTGGTACCTGTGTACTGGTGTGGTACCTGTGTACTGGTGTGGTACCTGTGTACTAGTGTGGTACCTGTGTACTGGTGTGATTACCTGTGTACTTGTGTGGTACCTGTGTACTAGTGTGGTACCTGTGTACCAGTGTGGTGCCTGTGTACTAGTGTGGTACCTGTGTACTTGTGTGGTACCTGTGTACTGGTGTGGTACCTGTGTTCTGGTGTGGTGCCTGTGTACTAGTGTGGTACCTGTGTACTGGTGTGGTGCCTGTGTACTAGTGTGGTACCTGTGTACTGGTGTGGTACCGGCGGTGTGGAACCAGCCTGGTACCTTGCCACCCATTGGGACTATCCCCACGGCCAAATGCAGGCGGACACCCAGCAGCCCAGCCAGGAGTGCCAGTGGCTGTCAATTAGGAGGTGCAAAGGTCACATAGATAGCTACACTCATTAATTACCATAATATAAATATACATACACAGTGCATTGTAAACGCTACCAAGCTCACCCCCCTCCACACTCCACACCGCCGCCGAGCTGGAGAGACGTGCTTCACGGACGCGCGCCGCGCACGGCTACAAGAGACGGCCTCTCACAACCCGAGCTCACGGTCCCCGATTCTGCAGCTATCCCCCCCCCCCTCCACACAAAAAAAGTGTCGCACTTCCCTGGGTTTCTTTACTTGCCGTGCTGCTGCTGGTGCCGTCGAGCGGTATTGCTGGGATCTTGGAAACGAGCGCCAGGGCCCCCGTGCGTCCTGCACGTTCATTCCCTTGTCACAAAACGCATCGGCCCTGCGACGTTCGTCCGCCCTGGCCTGCCGCCTCGGCGAGCCAGACGGCGTTATTCACCCGGCTCCTACCGTTGCGGTTACGTTCACTGGTGAACAGGGGGCGAAGTTTAAAAGCGGGAGTGCCGGGATGAAACGCTATTCATCCCGCAGGCCACGTCAACGGACTCGGTACACGCACACAAAGATTCCCGTGCAATCTTGACAGACTGTCGGGACAAGTGCTGTTAGCAAGCGCCTATGAAGGTCGGCACAGCACACGAGGGGGTAGGTGGCCTGCATCGCGCCCGGCCGCCTTTGTCTCCCAAGTGGCGATGTTACTCATTTGAGGCTGAGTCGACCTAGGGGAGGCCCAGGACCAGTTCAGATAATCGTCACCGATGTTGGCCATGAACGAGAATCCAAGTCGGGTCGTGGGGTTTAAAGTGCAGCACGCTAATTCCTACACGAACACTCCCCATATACACAAACACATATACACATACAGACCAATAATAATAGTAATACCCGCCAATCGTCATCACCACGGCGCCTATGCCAGGCCAGGTGCACTTTGAGGCCACGTGAAGTGTCGAAGGCTCGCTGACAGGTCATGGGACAGACCCAGGTGCCATGGGTTAACTGAAATCACTGGCAGATGCACCAGCTGTACCCCCTACTAGGGCTGAACGATTTTGAGAAAATATCTAACTGCGATTTTTCTGACAGATATTGCGATTTGCGACTTGATTTGCGATAACAAAAAATTAAGTCAGGCTTCAGTTCAATATTCATTGTGTAATCGATTTAAAACACGTGATGGAGCATTGCCGCATGATACCATCAAAATATGAACTGCTCTATATATTCTAATGCAAGGATGAGAACTTAAAATATATTAATTGCTTCCGACATGTATTTATTAAAATGTTTAATTGAAATAGAACAATCAAACATAGGACAATTGTTAAGTTAAATAAATAAAGTTTTAATAATAAAACAATTCCAATAGGACTTTCCTAATCGCAAAAAATCGCAGCCTTTGCGATTTACTAATCGCAACGTTTCAAATTTCGATTTGAAATCGATTAATCGTTCAGCCCTACCCCCTACTGTGCCAACTTGCTGCATTTTGTCTTCCCGGCGCTCCATTCATTGTTCTGAGCGTCACTCCTCTGCCCTCAGTTGTTGTTGAAAGGCGACTGCCTCCAACAACCCTGTAACATCATTTACGAGCCTCCTTCATAGAGGCCAACCTTGACACCGTTGGTACCAGTCTTTGGAAAGTCCACTCAGCTCCACATCCTCTCGTACTCCATCAGTCCATCTCTTCTGCAGCCCATGTCGTGCCCTGTTTTACCCTCTCTGGCCAAATGTAAGCTGCTTGGGCATGCGGTGGCAGGGCATGCAGGCTACATGACCCAGCCAACGTAGCATTGCCTGCCAGAGGAGCTAACTGATGGGAACATGTCCAGATCTTTCAAGGCGATGTGAGCTCCTCACACAATCCAGCCTGGTTAAACCCAGCATGGATCACAGGTAGGCCAGCCGGAATGTTTCTAACCAGCATAGATTAGAGGGGTCCACGTTTCACAAGCATAGAGAAGGGATGGCATGACTGTGGCCGAGAAGACCCGAAGCTTCCTGTGGGGCGACAGACCAGGTAGCTTCCACACAGCATTACGCAGCCAATGAAAATATAATGCCACCCGATTCGGAGTGAGACCTCTGCTGTCACACCGGAGCTGGTCATAAGCACACTGCCCAGGAATGGAAAACTTTCCACTCCCTCCACAACTGCTCTATCACCAATGGGGAGTTGAGGGGGTGGATCGTGAGGTGGCACAAAATACCCAGGCAGGTGCTTAGTTTTGGTGGGGCTGATGGTAGGACCTCACCTCTTAGTGGCACACTCCAGGTTCAGCAGCAGCGCCTCCAACTCCTCCTGTGAGTGAGCAGCAATCACCAAATCATCAGCATAACATGGTTGACCAATAGGGAGCCATCCCTCGACTGCACCTGGGCATCGATCAGCCTCCCACTGTATCTGTGCAATATGGAAATTCCTCCGATACAGCCATGGAGACATTAAAAAATGTAGGAGCCAGAGGACATCCATGTCACACCACAAGGTGAACAGGGTGAGAGAATGGCTCTGACTCTTAAAGAGGGGGACCACCAGAGCATCCTTCCAATCCTATAGAACCCATCCTGTGGTCCAGACAGTTGTGATCATGCCATGTAGGGCAGTCTGCACACAGATGCCACCCTCCCTTAGCATTTCGCTTGGGATATTGTCTCTGCATGGTGCTTTTCCTGGTCTCAGACTCTGGATCGCCCCTCGTATTTCATACACAGATGCCACCTCAGCCAACCACTCAGAAAGGGTGGCTACTTCTGCCAATATTTGAAACACGGCAGCCCTAGCAGGGTAGTCACCACCTTGCCCCATGATGTCTGGGCTGAGGGAATTCTCCTCTCCGAAGACTTCACAGAAATGCTCTGCAAACCTGCATACCTGTTTCTGGGGGTCGGAAGTCAGATCACTGTGCGTTCCCTGAAGGATGGTGATAGGTGAGGCACTGCAAGTAACTTTTTTGATATAATTAAATAGCGATTTGTGATTGCGGGCTACTGAGGCAAATTCCATCTCCTCAGCAACGTGCCCACCACTCATCCTTGCAGTGCCGCAAGGCTCTCCTAATCTCCATGTGAAGGTTGCGGTAAGCCTCCTCATTCTCCAATGTTGGATGTTGTCGACGACGGGAGTGGGCCAGGGTCTCTGGGTAGGTCTGGACTGCATACCCAATGCAGCCATTGCAGTTGCATGAACCACAGTCCTGAACCTCACCCATTTCCCCTTAGCATCAGAAGGAGAGGGGGGGCGATTCCAACCTCAGCTGCAAGTGATGTTGAAATTCTTGCTTGCAACTATCCTCAGCTAGCCGAGACTAGACCAATGTGGGTTTGAATGGGGTCGTCGATAGACACCCACCACCGGAGTGGACAAATAGCAGGTGCATCTTGCAGATGACAAGGCGATGGTCAGTGGGCAGATCAGCTCCACGGTAGGTCCTGGTGTCAAGGACTTGGGCCCGCATCCGCTGGTACCTGATTATATAGTCCAGCAGATGTTTTTGCTTGGAGCCAACATACATCCATGATGTTGTGTGGATATGGCAATGCCGGAACAGTATTTTGTTAATTACAAGCCCATGGGCTGCACAGAAGTCGAGCAACATCCTACCGTTATGATTGAGCTGATCTGGCCCATTCGTTCCGATCACTCCAACCCAGGTGTTTGTGTCATGACCCACTCGGGTCATGACGCAGACACCAACAGGACTCGAGGGGCCACTTTAGCTCGCACCTGGAACAGGAGGTTATAGAAGGACTCATCGGCCTTGTCTGCATCCCTCCACTGACGTTCATCTTCGGTGGGTCGAAAAGAACCACCACCACCATTCCTCGCCTCTTGTTGATTGGGAAGCGAGCCCACAGTAACCTGGGACTTACAGCTTCCCACACCTCACCGCCACGCTCCCACATCGCCTTCATTCTTTTGTTCAAAAGAAGTACCACTCCCTGTTGTTTGGCAGTTTCCTGCCCCGAGTGGAGAACTGTCCACCCCTCATGATGACTGGAGTCAGAACCGGTCCACCGGACCGCCTGTATTCCAGAGGTCCAGGCAGTACCAAGCCATCTTCCGACAGAGGAGTGGCAGCCTCTCCTCCGCAACGAGAGTCCGAACATTCCAAGTGGCCAATCGCAGTGTTCTCCTGTTCCTGGAGAAACCCCGAGAGGGGGGGGGGGGGGTTCAGTCTGGCTCTGCCAGATGGAGTTTGGCCAGAAGGCGTCATAAACGCCTTTTCCATACACACACACACACACGTGCTCGCATACTCACTGCCACATCCCCTCTGCTGAAACATCGTAGTATTGGAACAGGAACATTCTGAAAGTGCTGGTATGGTGGCGTGCCGTCGTACACTGGCACATTTACACCTCTGCTCCTGACATTTAACGGCTCGGGGCTCGTTCCGGCGAGAAGCACGGATGAAGGGGGGTGAGGGGGGGGGGGGGGGGGGGGCGTGCAGGAGGCCTGCTCCATCTCCTCCATGTCCGCGCGCGACCCTCTCCTCCTCCACCCTCTGCCCATCATGCCGTCGCTGTCCTGAGCTCCTCAAGCATGGCTCGAAGGCGGTGGCGGAGGGTGGCACGCGCGTTCATCAGCCGCTCGTAGCACACGGCTGTACAGGCTGAACGAGTTGAGCTCCACCCACAGGAAACCAAAGGTGTCGTCGTCGAATGCCACGAAGATCCCGGGCGTGCGCTGCGGGCTCTGAAGCCGTGCCCCGCGACCAGCCCCGTCCCGTAGAACCTGCGGGAGAATGGCGCGGGCGTCACAGTCGTCAGCGGCGACGGCCTGTCGTTCGTTCTCGAAGCGCGCGGACGAGGCGCGCGGGCGAGGCGCAAATTCGATCGCGAAGGCCGATGTCGCAGAGCGAAACACGAGCGGCAAACTGCGCGGCCGGGCGCGGCGGGCGCGGAGCGCGCGCCGTGGCGGCACGGCGGCACGCTCACCTGGCCGGCGGTGCGTGGGTAGTCGGTCTGCCGCGGAATGATCCCATTGGCAGGTGGAACTCCTCCAGGTGAGCCTCTCCACTCCCGACTCCTCCCTCCTACTGCTTCTCTACCCCCGCAACCGAACCCATCGGCCTCCCACTGTGCCCTCCCCGCCGCTACCCTCTCGGTCCCCTCCTCCTCCACCACGGGCGCCCTATCCGGTGCCCACTCCGATCCTCGTCCAATCGCAGGGTCCCGCCACGTGCCCAGTCCCGCCGATCCCCAGAGTCGATTCCGCGGGGGGGCTCCGTCTCCCCGCGGGCGGTTCCGACGCCCACCCCACCCACCGCGCCCGCCTCGTAGTCGTCGAGCTGGTCCTCGACCCCCGCAGGCAGCGCCGGTGAGACCGTCTCGCCGAGGGGGGGCGTCTGGAGCGAGCCCCTCATGTCTCCCCTCCTCTGAGGGTCCTGCTGCTGCCGGAGGAAAAAAAAAAACATGCACGGAGAAAGGTGGACGGTGAGTCCGCAGCCGTTTGCCGCCTCCATGAGCGAGTTAACTTTTATTTTCAAACCAGATTAAATCAACCCCCGGTGCTGTGAGTTACATGACATTTTTTAAACAAATAGTACAACGAATCGGATTTTAAACAACGAGTCCAAAATACGACAGCAGAGGTATTTGGAATCTGGTGATTATTTTGTGGTTCGCGTCTAGAATGCAGAATTTGAAGTGATTCTTGTCTCCGTGGGGAATGGCTGCAAGGTGCGGAGTGACTGCGGGGCTACGTCGAGAGAGGCCCAACAGGAGGAGGGCGATTCGCCCAAACCTGGATTCACGTGCTTAGCCACTTCGTTGAGCCATCATTTGCGGCCAGGTCGTTTCTGAAAAAAGAAGCCAATAGCTCAGTGGCCTTCACCTGGTAAGATAAAACATTGTTAGTTTTATTTGTATATTTTTTTTCAAGTGACTTGTTTACCTTTCCTATACTTTGCACTCCGATTCTGTGTTTGCACTGTTTGTTGTTGTAACGTTCTGACCCGCCCCTACTGGACATCTGCGACAAAGAGCTTTGTAGCTCGTCGGATTGCTCCAGTCTAAATGCGTAACATTCTGATTCTGACTCTTGGAACAGGGCGGTGTCGCCCTGTCAATGCTATGCGGTGTATTCGCTTGAACGCGGCGCGGCTGAACACGGGGTCGCTCCCATGCGCGGCGTGTCTCGGCACCTTGCCGCGACGGCTCACTCTGCGCCACGGGGTCCTGTGGCCGCTCCCCCTCCTCCTGCCGCCGCCGCCGCTGCCACGGTGACGCCGGGCACGGTTGTGGCCGGGAACCCCGGCCAGCGGGGACGTTCCCATCGCAACTCGGCCGAGCATCTCCACCGCCCTCCGCAACCTCCGGCGCATCACCACCACCCTCCTCCTCCTCCTCCTCTTCAGGCAAGTCTCCTCCTCCTGCTCCCTCGGGCTCTGCCTCTCCTCTGCCCGCCGCCGGTCTGCGCTCACCGGCCGTTGCCCTCCCTCTCGCGCTCCCTCTCCAGATGGAGTTGACGATGCGAGACAGCTCCTCGATGTTGGACTGCTGCTCAAGGCTGCTCGGCGCCAGCGGGAGGGACAGGTCGACATCAAGCGTGAGCTGGCCGGCCGGCACGTTGGGGTCGCCCTGGGGGGGACAGAGGTGGGGGGGGCACACACGAGGGTTCCGTGTGGAGGAAACGCGTGGACTACACAGGCACGGCCGTCCGATCTCCGGTCAGCTACAAGATTGCACTCGGTGGCTTCAAGATCCTCCACGGACTCGCCCCGACCTACCGCTCCGTTTCCTCCCCGCCACGCCCCCTCCTCCTTCTAAGGAGGAGACCTCTTGCCGCGTCTGGAGGCCCGGGCGCGCCGCCACGCAGCACTCACCGTGATCTTGGTAACAGCGCGCGGCGCCGCCCGCACACACTCAGCATGACGATCTCCCAGGCCGTGGCTCCCGTAGGGCCCTTGAAGAGGCCGGGCGGCAGCGGGCGCGTCGGGCCGCTCCGGAGGTAGGAAGATTCGCTTGTACGTGAGACAGTTGCTGCGGGGAAAACACACAAAGAAATGTATAATTCCACTGCCGGCTCGCCTCTGGCGGCAACCTCCTCCTCAACATGCGGCACAGCCCGCGGGCCCCAGGTTTGCGACCGATCTAACCGCATGAGTGTGGCAGCAATCGGATGGTTTTAGTCGAAATGTTGCAGGTGACATCTGGCTTCATGCGTGTGTGCGGGAGTGCTCATCGTGATCGGCGAGCGCAGTGCCGCCGCCGCGTTGCGTGGCGATCGTGTGTGCGCGGTCGTTGTGGGTGTTGTCGAGCGTGGGCGGTGCAAGGTGCAGCGCGCGGCCACGAGGGGCATCGTGTTAGCGCAGTAACTGTGCCGGAGTGGCCACTGTGTCGTCTGGCGATCAAGCCGTGTGCGCGACCCTCCTTGTGCCAGCTGCGGTCATGGTGCCCTCCATCCCCTCACTCGGACTGGCTGTGCGCACCCCTCCGTGCCCTCACTCACTCGTACTGGCTGGTGTAGATGAACTTCATGAGGATGAGCTCCTGCGTGTGCTCGATGAAGATCTCCTCCAGCGTCTTCCCCCACTCGTCCTGCAGCCACGTGCGGAACTCCTGTGGGGGTGGGGCAAACCAAACAGCACGCGGTGGCAGGGGGGGGGGGAAGAGTTAATTGTGGTCTTGTTTGGGGGCGGCGGTGGTGGTGGTCAGTAGTTAGTGTTGGCAAGTGCAGAGGACTGCAAGATCCCCACCTCTTGCCGGCCCGCCTGACATTCGTGGAAAGTCGGTCTGGATGCACTTGGTGGGAAAATTCATCCTTTTTGTGAACCTGTGGTCATCGCACACACACGGCAGCATTCATCAGGCAAGCGCCGCTTGGTCCACGCAAGATTCGACGAACTGTCCGTCAGCGGTGGAAATGCGAATGTGGAAGTGCCAGCATGAAACCTTTTCGTCCGGCAGCCCATGTTCACTGCCGTTTCCTTTCTGCGGAAACATCGTGGTATACGATTGGGAACCGTTGCACGCATCCCGTGTGCATGTCTGGGTGTTCTGAGAAATGCTGGTTTGGCACATCTTCATACAGCGGCCCATTGCAACCACTCATCACTATACACTCCAAAGAATCTATTTCTTTGTTTCTACACGCACACTGTGGTAGACAGAGCACCTCTAGTGGCCACGGGGATCATGCGATCCCATCGCATACAATGTCCTCGCTATTCAAGGTGCACATCGTGACCTTACGAATCTTAATGTAACCGAATGGATGCACCCGCACGTGCCCTGTCCAGTTTGCCGGCTGGGACGGCTAACGCTGACCCCGCTGAAAATCCGTGGTCTGCGTCGCGCCGTACAGGGATAACATTTTTCTTTATTGCTCACACAACCTCGTGGTTACTGTGCACAGGGTAATGCACTTGTAGACACGGAGCCATCGCATTCGCACCATTCAATCACCTGTCGATAGGAACGCAAGAGGGCCTTCATAAATCGGCGCAGTATCTATATGCGGGTGGATAATAACCCACGGGCCGTTGCCAATCCACTGCTGGATGAAGGCCTCCTTATGCTGCGTCCATCACGGGGGCGCTTTGCCTACTTCACCGGCCCTCGGCGAGTGCCGATCAGTGAGAGTCCCAGGGCACCGCTTCGGCATCGCTCGCCACCTACGGTAGCTGCGGTTAGGATCGAACCCGTGTCGCCGGATTCATGGCCCAGCGTGCGTCGTGCATCCGACAACCCGGGAGCCGGTGTCGGTGTCGGCGTCGCGCGGTAAGCCCCGGCGGTGCGACGCGGCGACATACCCGGATGTACCCGCGGTGGGGGCCGCTGTGGCCGTACATGCACTCCACCTCCGCGCGGTGCCGCTCCCAGAGGTGCACAGCGAAACAAGGGCTTGCGCCGCATGGGGTCGCGCACGCACGGGTCGTGCGGCGGCAGGTACATCCAGCCAAAGATGAACAGCCCATCCACCTGGCGCCAGCAGCGGTGGGGGCGGGGCGGCAGAGAGGGGGGGGGGCTGTGAGCGTGCGGGAAGCCGGCAGGGATGGAGCAGGACGGTGTGTGGCCTGTTACACTGCGGGACGTCCCGCCCACCGCTGGCGTGTTCGGTGAGTCGCCGAAATTCTCGATATCATTTTTATAACTACGCTTGTTGACCCGGGAGAGCCTCGCTCGTGACTTGTGAAAAATAGCTTCATGGCCCATTGGATTCCTCCAGTCGAAATAAAGATTCTGATTCTGAGTCTCTAGACCCTGGGTTCACCATGGCAAGTCTTCACAGTAGCGGCTGGTGATTGCTACTCATTATCTTCCATCATTAAATGTTTCAAATTTGACAAATGTAGACCGCGGCACCGCGACACAATGCCCTACCTCTTCTTCTAATGGCGTCACGGGATATCCACTGTGAAACACACCGCGGCGTTAACCAGGACGGCCTGCCTGATGTGAACCTCGAACCGCCGCCACATGCGGTGAGTGCGCTACCGCTGAGCCCCGTCAACGCCTCGGGTCACTAGTGGCTGCAGTGAACCAATGACATATACAACGTAACCCTGTCAATCGCCACTGCTGGATGAAGGCTTCCCCCCCATACTGGTTAGCACAAGCTGTTGGGTGGGGTGGGGGGGGGTGTCACGATGGTTCTAAACTCACTGGGAACCGACGTTTGCCGTGGCCGTAAACTAAACTCGCGTCGCTCGGTTCAGCGTGCAGCTCGCCAACCACTGTGCCACCGTTCCCCAAGTACGACGTAAAGGTATTGACAGGAACAGATTCTCACACGCGTTCACTTTAATCGAAGGATCAATGATGCATCATTACGCTCCTGCTGGTCAGCGCCGGAAGCAACAACCCCACCACCTCAACAGAGGCTGCATCACGGTCACTGAATTATTAACTGAGTGTGTGTACATGCACTGTGTGCGTGCGTGCGTGCGTGTGTGTGGGAAGCTTAGAGCCTGTGAAGAGCGGTGGGGCAGCGGTTAGTGCGCTACGAACCCGGTAACCCGAGTTCGATCCCCGTTCACGGCCTGAGCCTCCCCTAGGCCGACTCATTCTCAAATGAGTACCTGGTGCGGTGTATAAACATCGTCGGTGGGGAGATGAAGGCGGTCGGGCGTGGTGCTGGCCACCTACCACCTCACGTACCATGCCGGCATTTATAGGTGCTCGCGAACAACGCTTGCCCCAAAAGTCTGTTAAGGTTAGAGGGTGGGATCTTTGTGGTGAGCACTAGTGTAGTGGTTAGCGCACTGCACTATGAACCCGGTGAGTTCTATTCCCGCTCTTGACCAACAGTGGCGAATATTTGAACTGATCCTGGGCCTCCCCTAGGTCGAGTACCTGTAACGGTATTTATAATATATATTGGAAAGACAAAGGTGACTGAGCGTGGCTACATGGGGAGTCTTTGTGTCTGTCTGCCCTCGCCCGCCTGGCCGCCCGCCTGCTCCCTTACCACCACGTTGAGGAGGCCACCGTAGGGGCCGATGAGCGGCTGCCAGAGCCCCAGGATGTGTCGGTAGGGGTGCAGCACTGCACACGTGCACCACACACAGCGCCCACAAATTACTCGCAAAGTACCTTGACTAGGAAAACACACAGCAATGGGGCCGCGTGCCCCCCCTCCGCCCACCACTGCAAAAAAGCTGAGCAGGACCCTGCTGAAAAAGTCTTGAGACTCGGGTTGCCACCTGTCTGGATTCCACCCGGACAGGCCGGGATTTGCTGAATGTGTTAGGTGTCAGGAGTCGACTAGTGCAGAGATCAAGTGGCGTTGCAGAGATCTAGTGGCATTGTAGAGATCTAGTGGCATTACAGAGATCTAGTGGCATTGTAGAGATATATTGGCACTGCAGATGTCTAGTGGCATTGTACAGACCTAGTGGCATTGTAGAGATGTAGTGGCACTGTAGAGATCTAGTGGCATCGTAGAGATCTATTGGCATTGCAGATGTCTAGTGGCATTGTAGAGACCTAGTGGCATTGTAGAGATGTAGTGGCATTACAGAGATCTAGTGGCATTGCAGAGATGTAGTGACATTGCAGAGTTGTATTGACATTGCAGAGATCTAGCGGTGTTGCAGAGACCTAGTGGCGTTGTAGATATGTAGTGACATTGCACAGATCTAGTGGCATTGCAGAGCTCTAGTGGAATTGTACATATTTGGCGGCATTGCAGAGATCTAGCGGCATTAGAAAGATCTAGGGCGGGGCAGAGAGCTAGGGCATTGCAGATATATAGTGGCATTTCATTGACCTGGTGCTAACTGAGCAATGCATCCAGGTTTGGTGAACAGTGGAAGAGGTGACAATCCTGGTCTTGAGATTTGGCGACACCTCTCCGAATGAACAAGCACCATGTAAAACTAAACTATTAACTATTATTATTTTACCAGGTAAGGCCCACTGAACGATATGGCTCTTTTCATAAGCGAGCTGGCCGCAAATGACATCTGAACAAAGTGACTTATCGCGTGGATATTTCTAGCAACCAAATACTCTAAACGCATTTGGAGGGAAAAATCGGAGGACCCGGAGAAAAAAAACGCGACCACAGGAAGAGAGAGAGAGAGACACGCAAGCTCCAAATATACAGGGGTCAGGATAAGGGATCGAACCCACGACCTCCGGTATACCAGGTGAGGTAGTTAATATCTTGAATGTAAACAGAGTACCGACGTGCCGTACGGCGTGTGAGCGACATCACGGACACCGCCGAGTGGCGAAGCCACGTCCGGTGCGCTCGCCACGGTGCGAAGGGAAGGGTTCGATCCCCACAGCAAGTGCGGCACGAGTAGACGGATGGGGCGCTGCTAAACGCACGAAAGTGACGTGAGGAATGCTGCTTAGCTGCTGCTGGCCGACTTTCCCGGGGCCGTGGGAATGTCGGCACATCGAGTCGCACACATTACTTTTTACTGCGGCGCTGCAACCTGCAGCGCCTAAAAGTTACGAACTTTATGCCGCCTTAAACAGGGTCAGCCACCTGTTCCGGACAGTCCGGGTTTGACCCAAGACGGTCAAGGATTTGGCGCCTGCAGTTTGTGTGGCAGCAGGAATTGACCTGTACTGAAATCTGGTACTGGTATTTTGCTGTGTTGAACTTTATTGCAGTAAACTGCGCAGTTTTGATAACACACCTCGGCTGACTGAGAAACGATTGGGTTCGGAGAAGGTGGCGAAGCTAGTTCTAGACAACGGCTCACAATGATGTAGTCACCCAAGGCCACGTCTCAGGCTTCCGCAGTGTCTGCTAGGGCTACAGTCTCCAGCCTGGCTGTCAGGTTCCCTTGCCTTTTGTTCTCTTCAGTCCTTTTAAATTAGCACTAATCCCATCCACCGTCTTGCTCATGTGTGTGTGCACTGGTAGGAGAGAGGGGGGCGGATGACGCCGTTTGCCAAAGGTCACTGAGCTCCTGTGAGCTGACGTACAGCCCCCCCCCTCCCCCCCCAAAGACAATGGGCAGAACTGCAGGCCAACTGTGGACTAGCAGAGGCCTTTCTGTAGTCACAAAATAAAAACATGCATCCCCTTTTTATTTTAACAAGAACACGCCTCGTTCGATTGAGGTGTGAAGGCCGGGGCTGTGGTGGTTAACAGGGTGGCTACAGACAGCTGAGCACCCGTGCTCGGAGGCTTCTCGAGACGAGGTGGCCCTGGCCGAGGGAATTTGGTGTGGGTGGGGTGGGTAGGGGGGGGGGTGGTCAGGGACAGATGGGGGCAGCTTCCGGGTCCCCTGCAGAGTCCAGAGGCAAACTAATGGGGAACAGCAGGGAGCCGGCAGGGTGACTCACCCGGCCACGACTCAGCACCACTCCACAACAAAAGCGTCTGCGCAAGAGACCACAGTGGCGGCTGGGACGTGGGGGGTGGGGATCATTTTTTTGGAGTCGTCCCCTAATGGGAGGGACACTATCGCGCCACGGGCCGCTCTTTGCACGGGGGGGGGGTGGGGGGGGGACATGCGGGGAGAGATGAATGCAGACTCGGGGCGGGGAGCGAGCTCGTGTTTGTGTACGCGCGCCTAACGAGGAGCCGCTGCTGCGGCTGTGCGCGCGCAAACAAAGCAGCAGCAGCGGCGGCGGTGGCGGTGGCAGCAGCGGGCGCCTGTGAGGTGCGGCCGCGGAATGCATTAATTGGACGCGGCTCCAGCAACCGGCAACACATTTTCCAAGCGGCAAGAGCCACGTGTGCTCATGCCGACGTTGAAGCCATTCCCTACCGACATGAGAATACATCCTTAACATTTATTTACACTTATAATGTACTCATTTATCCAGGAGAGCCACACTGAGTCACAGGACACTGTTTCAGGAGGGTTCCCCGGCACATATTTTGTTTGTTACCAGATACCTTCAAAAATAAATTACACATGTGCACCACAGTTAATATTATTTCTGGTCAAAAGTCAGAACGATTTCCTGCTCATCTCCCATTCACAGCCCTGAGCCAGTGGTGGAAGTTCCACGTTCCTTTGGCCAAGTCTATCGATAGGACAACCACTGTTAACTTTTCCACAAAGCGGTGCTCACTTTGTCTACTGATTATTTCTCGCTTGTGTCGGTAAATCTAAGGACACGCGCTGCACGGACCCGCTCCTGCCTCATACCCAACCCACCAGTGGCTGGAATCGCCGAGCAGGAAAGCACCAAGGGAAATGCTTTGGCAGGGAGTGTTAGGCGGCGGCCAAAGGGTCCATCATGCACGGGGCGAGCGGAGCTGTCTCGGTGGAAAACAAAGCATACGGCACTGCACACAAAGCCAAAGATCCCCAATTAAAGCCTACACGCACCGTTGGAGCAAGTGCTATTAGTGAGCACCGATTAAGACAGCACGGCAGCACGAGAGGGTGGGGTGGCCAGCACCACGCCTGGCCACCTTGGTATCCGCAGTGCTGATGTTAACACACCGCACCGCGTACTCACTTAATGAGACCTAGGGGAGGGCCCAAGACCAGGTCACATTTTCATCAACGATGATGGCCGTGAGCGAGAATCGAACTCGGGTTCGTAGCACAGCGCGCTTACCACTGCGCCACCGCCCCCTCCACACACGTACACACAAAGATACAAAGATACAAAGATCCCCCGTATAGCCTCAACAGACTGTAGGGGCAAGTGCTGTTAGCGAGCACCTATGAAGGCCGGAACGGTACACGAGGGGGTGGGTGGCCAGCACCACGCCCGACCGCCTTTGTCTCCCCAGTGGCAATGTTTACACACCGCACCAGGTACTCATTTGAGGCTGAGTCGACCTAGGGGAGGCCCGGGACCGGTTCAGATAATCGTCACTGGTGTTGGCCGTGAGCGGGAATCGAACCCGGGTCGCCAGGTTCACAGCGCAGCGCGCTAACCGCTACACTACCGCTCCCCACAACACGTACACACACACACGCGCACACACACACGCACACACACGTGCGCACGCAAGGAGGTGGGGGCATGCGTGGGGAGTAGAAAGCACACGGGTACCTACAATGCACATAGATATCCCTGTAGACCATGTTTTCGTACTCTGGGAGCAGTTTCATGTACTTCCCTGACTTGACTCTGGGGTTTACACCTACGTGGTGGGCAAAAACAGCACAACGGCAGGAATCCATGTGCGACCCGAGCGACGCGTAGAGGCGCACAGCCGCCTCGGTGTCTGCTGCGGAGAAGGCTGGGCGACTCGGCGTGGCAGGCGGGATCCCTTTCAGAGCGGAGCGGCAGGCGTCTCGAGCTCCAGGTTCGCCCCGCAATCTGCTTGCGATGCAATTACGCGTTGCGATGTGTTTACGCCGTGCCCGCGGGCCGCTCGGCGTGCCCGAGTGTCTTCCAGCGTTAGCCCCCAAACGATCGCTCGCCAAACTGTGGAACGGTCGCAAGTGCCGTGAACGCAGCGGCATGGCGTGGTTGGCACGGGCCGTGGTAATCGGAATTAAATGCTCCCCACTTCCTCTCCACCCTGTACAATCCCCCCCCCTCCCCCCTCCTTTTTAGCCCGGCGCCTTGGCCCCCCTGGGGCATAGAATCCTGCATTGTTGCACCGCCTGCACACTTGCTAGCTGCGCAACTGCACAAATGGCACGGCGCGTGCTGTATATGCCCTGCACGCGGATGCTGTGACACGAATGACAATCAGTCTCCGTTTCCCGGCCTAATCGCGGCAGAACGGTTTTGGAATGGTCACGATGAGAAAACGACTTATTTCCTTGGAATACTTTGTGATGGGGCATCGTTGCATTTGCGACACGCACACACACAGATGCCCGCACTCCGCTCCAGCAACGTCCATGTTTGCACAGGGCAACCCTCCCCTATTCACGCTAATACGGGGGGGTCACCTTTGCGAAGAGTAACGATCTCTATTGTGAATAGCTAAGTGCTTAAGATTGTGTAACCGTAGAAGCATCCACCCAAAACTGTTTATATGTTTACCGGGTAAAGCCCACTGAGCTATGTAGCTCTTTTTCAGAAGCGACCTGGCCACAAGTGATAGCTCAACGAAGTGGCTTACCACGTGGAAAATGATAGCAGCCAATTTACTCTAAACGCGTGGTGATGTGAATTCTAAATGTGCAGGGAAAAACCAGAGGAACCCGGAGAAAAATTCACACGAGCACGGGGAGAACATACAAACTCCAAATATGCAGGCACCAGGGTCGGGATCGAACCCACGACCTCCTGTATACCAAGCGAAGTAGTTAACATCTCCTAGCCACCGTGGCACCAGATATGTGAATCAGGTGAAATGCCCGCTTATTTATTTAGTAGTTTTGGTAGTTTTCTCTTTTCATATTTCTACAATAACAGAGGAGACTGCAGTGTTAAAAAAGCGAATGCTCGGATTTGCGGTTCCGGTACTGGAGGTGCGAACATACGACTGCTGTCCGCGCCGCCACCGTGCGGCCACGGGAGAGAGGCGGTCACCGCGACCCACGCCATCAACCCACGCCGCCGCTCTGCGACCATGTGGGCAGCAGATGTGTGTCCATGTGGGTAGGGCGTGGGCGTGAGGTGCAGCGGGCAAGAGGGAACGCGGCGGCGTGTGGGCATGAGTAAAGGATGGTCCGGGAGTGAGTGAGGAGGGGGACAGCGAGCGACGGCGAGTGAGGAGGGCTGGGGTGAGAGCGCTCGCAGCGGGCACCGTGTGTCCATGAATGGAGTGAGACGCAGAATGTGCGGGTGAGGGAGCAGGGAGCGGTCCGGGTATGAGTGAGCGAGGCGCAGGGTGTGAGTGCGTGAGATCACCCACGTTTGATGTAGAGGTCGCGGAACGCCATCCCCGTCGCCTCCATGGCGTGCAGGTCCTCTTGCACGCCATACTCTGTGACAAGCGGCACAACGTGCCGGTGGGCCGGCAGCTGGCGCTACAGCCGGCGACACAGTTGGTGCCCTCACTACAACTGAATTCTCTACCGCAGGCTCTTCTATCGTGGTTAGTGCAGCTCATGCTGCAGCTAGTTCGACAGCTTGTGCTACAGCTGATAGCTATAGCTGGCGGTTCAGCTGCTCCACTGCACTCCATCCAGGTTTTTGTGGTTCAGACGTGTAGCGATCCATTGGCTAACATCCAATTGTAATTTTTTTCTTCCGAAATTGGCATAGATTTGTACGCATAAACGTCATTTTTTTTCGTTGCGTATGTTTAATGGTTTCACATGAACCGTCTCCCGCCACTAGAGGCCGCTATATTCAAAACGTAACATTAACAAAAATCTTGAAATCGTGACAACTCGCTGAATCGCACCATACGCGGATTGTGACAACTCCTGTGCGATCCATAGTTTTACATCTGACCGTGTCACTTGACAGTGCAAACTGAGGAGAGCGGAACTTGTTTTATTTGGAAACAATAAGAATAAGAACCTACGCCATTGACAGCATTATCACGAAAATAATAGCCCTTTAGTGTATTTATTTGAAAACAAGAGTCGCTGAGCACGGCCCCAGAGGCCCAAAAGCGTCAAGTGGCCAAAATTGCATTGTGGATTAAATTGAAAATAACAACACAGGGTTTTCAGTGGCACCGAGAGAGAACACATAATTCCGCATTTCGATCGACCGGGCTACCTTGGGAAAAGAACCTACCCAATGGAAAATGCTGTCCGACGGCTGAAGGCCGGTCTTCCAAAACATCAGCCTTTCCATTCTTTTGTGGCAGTAAAAACGCGACTATTTGTATGTATGTTGAACTTCTTTCGCACGATATGGTGCGAACCGTGATAATTGGTTGCCTATGTACGGTGCGAAAGACGTTCAACATACATACAAGGATAACATACAAAACACAAAAAGCAGTTCTAAAGAAATGTTTTCTATCAAGATTTAGAAGTGCATAGCACCAGTGGATTCCGAATATCGGGAGAGCGTTCCAGACGGCCGCAGAAGCGCATCTGAAAGCACGCGATGCGGTGACCGTCTTGGTTCGACGTTTAGCCAAAAGGCGCCGCGAGGATAACTGGAGTTTGCGTGACGGTTTATGCTGCCTGACGAGATCAGCAAGCTATTGTGGTTTATTTGTGGCAAGCACTTTGTGTGTGAGGAGCGCGGCCTTTATAAATCGTGCAATAACCTGTTAACTCCTCGCATGTGTGTGCGGGGTGCAGGGAACAAAATCTGACGAATTCCACCACCCACAGGCCACGCACAGCCGCATTCACAGTGAACCCAATGACACACGCACGCAACTACAGGGGACTCCTCTGCCTATGAACATTCGACTTACGATCTTTCAGAGATACGAACAAACCTGTCCGAATATCCAGTTGCCTGTTCGGACCGAAAGTCGTAAGTTCAACCGCCGCGCAATCGACGGCAGTGGTGGCATCTACATCTGCAGAACGTGAAGAACCAGTGGCATCTATAGTGAGGGAAAAGAGTATTTGATCCCCTGCTGATTTTGTACGTTTGCCCACTGACAAAGAAATGATCAGTCTATAATTTTAATGGTAGGTTTATTTGAACAGTGAGAGACAGAATAACAACAACAACAACAAAAATCCGGAAAAACGCATGTCAAAAAATGTATAAATTGATTTGAATTTTAATGAGGGAAATAAGTATTTGACCCCTCTGCAAAACATGACTTAGTACTTGGTGGCAAAACCCTTGTTGGCAATCACAGAGGTTTCTTGTAGTTGGCCACCAGGTTTGCACACATCTCAGGAGGGATTTTGTCCCACTCTTCTTTGCAGATCTTCTCCAAGTCATTAAGATTTTGAGGCTGACGTTTGGCAACTCGAACCTTCAGCTCCCTCCACAGATTTTCTATGGGATTAAGGTCTGGAGACTGGCTAGGCCACTCCAGGACCTTAATGTGCTTCTTCTTGAGCCACTCCTAAGTTGCCTTGGCCGTGTGTTTTGGGTCATTATCATGCTGGAATACCCATCCACGACCCATTTTCAATGCCCTGGCTGAGGGAAAGAGGTTCTCACCCAAGATTTGACAGTAAATGGTCCCGTCCATCGTCCCTTTGATACAGTGAAGTTGTCCTGTCCCCTTAGCAGAAAAACACCCACAAAGCATAATGTTTCCACCTCCATGTTTGACGGTGGGGATGGTGTTCGTGGGGTCATAGGCAGCATTCCTCCTCCTCCAAACACGGCGAGTTGAGTAGATGCCAAAGAGCTCCATTTTGGTCTCATCTGACCACAACACTTTCACCCAGTTGTCCTCTGAATCATTCAGATGTTCATTGGCAAACTTCAGACGGGCATGTATATGTGCTTTCTTGAGCAGGGGGACCTTGCGGTCGCTGCAGGATTTCAGTCCTTCACGGTGTAGTGTGTTACCAATTATTTCCTTGGTGACTATGGTCCCAGCTGCCTTGAGATCATTGACAAGATCCTCCCGTGTAGTTCTGGGCTGATTCCTCACCGTTCTCATGATCATTGCAACTTCAAGAGGTGAGATCTTGCATGGAGCCCCAGGCCGAGGGAGATTGACAGTTCTTTTGTGTTTCTTCCATTTGTGAATAATCACACCAACTGTTGTCACTTTCTCACCAAGCTGCTTGGCAATGGTCTTGTAGCCCATTCCAGCCTTGTGTAGGTGTATAATCTTGGCCCTGACATTCTTGGAGAGCTCTTTGGTCTTGGCCATGGTGGAGAGTTTGGAATCTAATTGATTGCTTCTGTGGACAGGCATCTTTTATACAGGTAACAAGCTGAGATTAGGAGCACTCCCTTTAAGAGTGTGCTCCTAATCTCAGCTCGTCACCTGTATAAAAGACACCTGGGAGCCAGAAATCTTTCTGATTGAGAGGGGGTCAAATACTTATTTCCCTCATTAAAATGCAAATGAATTTATAACATTTTTAACATGCGTTTTTCTGGATTTTTTTTGTTGTTATTCTGTCTCTCACTGTTCAAATAAACCTACCATTAAAATTATAGACTGATCATTTCTTTACTCGTTGGTTCTATTGGGTAAAGTCACGTAGGTGAAAATAAAATAACAAAAAATCACGACGTTTCGGCCACAACACAAGCAGCCTTCATCAGGTGAAGGGACGAGACTGTCTGGAGGACAGCGCTGGAATTGATCATTTCTTTGTCAGTGGGCAAACGTACAAAATCAGCAGGGAATCAAATACTTTTTTCCCTCACTGTACATCTGCAGAACGTGAAGAACCAGTGGCATCTACGTCTACAGAACGTGAAGAACCAGTGGCCTCTACGTCTACAGGAGATTATACAACTTGTAACGCCATTCCCCGTGTTCAGTGTACACGCCGTACAACGTGTTTGGAATCGACAGGGGTAAAGTTGGACTTAGGGGCCGTCCATAAATGACGTCAGGCACCTGAGGGGAGGGGGGGGGTCAGACATTTGTGACGATGTGTGATGAGGGGGGGGGTTGAGAAATGTGACGTCACATCAAAATGCGCAACTTTAAATAAATATAGACAACACGTTCTACTTAATTAAAGACTTTTTAATAAATGTTTTCTCCTACAACATCAGAGTGCAGCGCCACATTAAATACGCACTCCAATAACAATAGTTTAAAGCGATTTGAAGCAGTTTTTATTTTCAAAACGGAAATATAGTTTTGGGGGTAGGGGCAGAGCTTTGTGACGTCATATTTGAGGCGGGGGGGGGGGTCTGACTTTTTGTGACGCCTTGTGACGCCGTGTGACGAGGAGGGGGGGCGTGTCTAAAATCGTCAAAAAATCGCGTGACGTCATTTACGGACGGCCCCTTACGAAGAAATTGACTTACGAACAGACCTCCGGAACCTAACTCGTTCGTAAGTAGAGGAGTCCCTGTACACACACACACTCGACCTAAACCCCCAACTCTGGAGCACCTTTCGCCACGCGCGCTCCTCTACTCTCGGACTCCCGTGGCCAAGTCCAGGCTCGAGACTCCCCCTGCAACCCCTGGGACCCGCTTGCCCACCTGGCGGCTGACCTCTTTCTCGTGCAACGTCTTGAGATGCAGTTTTACATTTAGGCGTCAGGAAGACTCCAACGTGTTGTCATTCTCGATCGCATCTTTCTTCATAGCGGAGGTGTGCGTTTTGTTTGATGTCTTTAGCCACAGCCCGCACTTACCCATTAGCACGGTTGGCTACGTACGGCGCGAAAGAAGTTCAACATGCACACATCCAGCTCTTATGGGTCTCTGTTATCGCCTCGCTGTATTTCGATGGCTTTGTATGTTGTGTTTTATGAGGGCAGTCTAATGATCATTTAAATGTTAATTCCACCACTTGTGACGCAATGCAGTAATTTCATCTGGTAAGGCCCATTGAGCTTAACAGCAGCGTGGCAAGAACGACGGGAGTTAACTCAAGTAGCAACTTAATATCACACAACGGTATGACTCTACATCATCGCTCTTTCCATGAAATACAAATTGTTCGATTTGCATCTTTGCCTGCCACGATCCAACTTTATTTTGATTGGCCGTGTGTCGGGTGGCGGATGGTAACACTTGCAACTCGTAATACCCACACGATCTAACCCAAAAGTAAAACAATGTGAATCGTGATGGTTATTATGTTTTATGAACTCTATTCCTGAAATCTCAGTGACGCTGTTCCAACCCAAGGGGCTTGGATCCATTCCTGTACTGTACACAATGACGACGGTCTGGCACACCGCCGCTGCAGTGGTCTCGCCCACTGCTCAAGTCAACATTAGCACCCCCCCCTACAGAGGGAATGGTCTCGCCCATCCTCACCCCCTTCCTGCGTCAATGAACTCGCGGCAACATCTCCCGCAGACTCTGGAAGGGAAGCAGGCGAGACCATTCACCAGCGGGGGGGGGGGGAGAAATGACATTTACTCTTGATTTTAATCTCGATTTGAAGCTTTCGTGACTGCAGGAATCCATACTCTCTGTCTTGTTGTCGCTTGTGTTGCGACCGAAACGTCGTGTTTTCTTTTATTATTATTATTATTTATATCTACGTGACTTTACCGAAAGAACCAGAGAGTAATGACATTTACTTTTAGGGTCAAGTGTGAATGGTCTCGCTCACATCCCTCGAGGTTTAATGGTCTCGTCAGGTTCGTGCAGAGCGGGGCTGAGGGGCGGGGCTAGTGGAGATGACGGTGGAGGGGGGGAATGGGGGGTGTGAGGGGGCGGGGTTGTCTCCGCTACCTTCCTCGCAGCGGCGGCGCCACACGGAGTCGGTTAAGGCAACGCGGCGCAGCGCGCGGCACGAAGCCGCCACGGCGGGGAGGCAGCGGCCGGGCAGCAGCCCCACGACGTGAACCAGCAGCTCCGGGGGAAGCCTCAGCAAGGGAGCGTCACTCCCCGCCATCTTCACGCGAGCCCCGCCCCTTACCCCCTCCCCCCCCTCCCTGCACCCCGAGAGCCCCGCCCCTTCACCGTAGCTACGCCTTCGACGGACCGGCACCTCGTTCGGCTCCGCCCCCTAGCGCGGCGCCACTTGGCCATTAGGAACGCGCGACACTGAGCGAGAATCGTGCGCGCGCCAACATTGAGGCATGCCATTAGACGGCCGTGGTGTGACGTCGAACACGGGCGCTGGTGAGAGGGGGCGGATCTGGAAGAGACTATTTTTTTTGGGGGGGGGGTTGGGGGGTGGTCGGAATATTACGTTTTGTGTTTTCGCCCGCCTTATGGACGCGGTGTTTATCAAGGGAGGTAGATCTCAGAAAAAAAATGAGTGTGAGGTTTTTTTTTAGAGAAGGGTGATGTTTAAAATGTGGAGGGCGTTACAGAGTGTATTGCACCTTCCCCCCCCGTGGGCGCGCCTCTTGGTACATTCCGTGCGGGGGAATCCCCCCGGCGCTGTGGTCACGTGGGGCACCCGGGTGAAAGGGGGGCGGGGCCCTTCGCATGACCCCATGTGCTTCGAGATGATCCCTCCGATCACCGTCACGAGCCGTGGTCAATCCACTGCTGGATGAGTCTAATCAACCACAGTCTACGCACGGGCTCACTTCTTCATCGCTCCATCTCCGAGGTGGACGTTCTTCTTTGGGGACGTGTTGAATCCCTTGGCTGCCCCTCCTGTTATATAAATCTTGACCATCGTCCCCGCTAGGTATGACGTGTCCTGCTGGCCCAAGGCCATTCGCCTGCTCTTACGGTGCCAGCAACGCGTGCACGTTCTCTCATCCACGCGCTCCCCCTTCCTCCTTTGTGTTGCGCTGCACAGTAATTTCAGTGGCGTATCGCTTGCGTATTTGCGCACGTTTCCTTTTTTCATATTTGCCTCGTTCGTAGGAAATTAAAGACGCAAACTACCACCGCGATGTGATTGTGGTCACGCAAGCCAAACTATGGGCCGTACAGTAAACAGATGTACAGATACGTAGATACATCGAGATTGTGGTCATGAAATCCGAACCACGCGCCATTCCTTACACCACTGTAAATCTGCGCGCCTTCAACTGAGGAGGAACAGCAGAACGACGCGCACTCTCTCTCTCCTGAAGCCCTGCCGTCGTAACGAGCGGCAGGCCTCAAGACATTATTTGCATCCTCCAGACCATCTTGCTGCTGCTGCTGCCGCCGCCGCCAGTGGCCACGTGTCTGAGCCAGAAGTCGGCAGCCTCCTCCCCCGTTAGTTGGCGCCCAATTTCTTAAATTTCCAGCAACAACGCGAACTCCGCTTGGAAGCGCGCACGTAGTGAGAATAAGCCAACGACACTGCTCTAAAATTAATATATAGTCTCATTTACCGCACTGAGCAAAGGCCCAAAAAGGTCAAGCCAGCAACAAACGGCAAAATTAAATTTGAACCAAACACGAGTGCGTTTAACACGTGTCTTGCATTGAACAATGCTTGAGAAAACTCTAAAAATATTTCCATACACTGCAAATCGTCAGACGTTTCGGACAATGGCTCTTCCTTGCCCGAAGCATCCTGCACGTTTTGTAAACCAGGTTGCACATCTCAGGCTAGGCAAGAATGCATTCTTCATGAACATCATCATCATCCACACTCGGGAGCCCACGCGTCACAGCAGCCGCCGCCCCGTCCGTGTTCGCTGTGAACCCCAACACGAGCAAGCGGGCTGACAAAAGCCACAGCTTGCAACGGGGGTGGGGGGCGGGGGGGGGGCGCGTAACGCAGTACAGCCCAGACGTGAGCCTTCCCCTCGTCCTCACAGCGAGCAAACTGGAGGGGGGGGGGACCAAGAGGGTACGAGCCCTCCCCAGCCCCCACTCGAGTCGACACTCCCTGCTGCTGCTTTGCGCACTTCTCAGCCTTGTTTTTGTTCCCATGTCGTGCGTCTCCTCGTTTCCGAATCCATCACTCCCGCTAAGGTACCCCGACTCCACTCCCCCCCGACTCCACTCCCCCCCAGACTCCCCCCCCGGACTCCCCTCCCCCCCAGACTCCCCCCCCGGACTCCCCCCCCCCGACTCCCCCCTGGACTCCCCCCCCCCGGACCCCCCCCCTGGACTCCCCTCCCCCCCGGACTTCCCCCCCCCCGGACAACTCCCCCCTCCCCCGACTCCCCCCCCCCGACCCCCCCCCGGACTCCCCCCCCCCCCGGACTCCCCCCCCCCGGACTCCCCTCCCCCCCAGACTCCCCCCCGGACTCCCCCCCCCGACTCCCCCCCTGGACTCCCCCCCCCCCGGACCCCCCCCTGGACTCCCCTCCCCCCCGGACCCCCCCCCCCTGGACTCCCCTCCCCCCCGGACTTCCCCCCCCCCGGACAACTCTCCCCTCCCCCGACTCCCCCCCCCGACTCCCCCCCCCCCGACTCCCCCCCCGACCCCCCCCCGGACTCCCCCCCCCCCCCGGACTACCCCCCCCCGGACCCCCCCCCCCCGGACTCCCCCCCCCCGACTCCTCCCCCCCCGGACTCCCCCCCCCCCGACTCCTCCCCCCCCGACTCCTCCCCCGACTCCCCCCTGAACCTCCCCACCTCTCTCCGTCTCCCTCTAGCTCCTCCCCTCTGACTCCCCCCCCCCACTCCCTCTAGCTCCTCCCCTCTGACTCCCCCCCCCCACACACTCCCCATCCGCCCCGTGCCCCTCCCCCCGCCTTAACCAAACTCTCTCCTTCAACCCCGCCCCTAGCCGCCCCGCCCCCCAGCCGCCCCCAGCCGCCCCGCCCCCCAGCCCCGCACATCGGGGGCTGACGCCGCTTCCACGGCCGCTCGCTCCTCCCCACGGCTGCTGCCGCTACGCCGAGGCGCGTCGTGTTATTGTGGCGCTGTGCGGTGGGGGAGAGAGCAGGGAGAGAGGTGGTGGTGGGGGGGGAGACGCAGGAGGCGGAGGAGGAGGAGCCGCGCAGCCACGCGTGGACGCGGGAGAGAGCGCGAGCGAGCGAGGGAGCGAGCGCGGAGAGAAGAGGAGCGGAGCTCGCGACTCGCGAGCGGACCGAAGAGGTGAGAGCGATCGATCGACACCGCCAACCCCACCACTAACCCCACCAGCCCGCGGTTGTGTCTCCCCACCACTACTTCCACACCCGCTCTTCCTCCTCCCCTCGGCGTTGTGGCTCGGCGAGGAGCCCCCCCATCCCCCCGGGTTCTCCACAACTGTGCTTTGAGTGCGAATAGCGCCGCGTCTCGCCGAGGAAATGGCGAACGGGATGATGGAGAGAGAGAGAGGGGGAGGAGATGTGGAGGAGGTGTGGAGGTGCAGGGCGGACGACGAGGAAGGATGAGTGAGGAAGGATGAGTGAGGAGTCTGGAGGAGCGATGGGTAGAAGGAGGACATAATGAAGAAGCCGAATGACCGACGAAGATGTTCAAATGAGGGAGGAGACGGGATGAGGTTGAGAGACGAGGTGAGATTATACCAAGGGATGAGGAGCTAAGAGGATCGAGGGATGAGAAGAAGCGAGGGGAAGTGACGAGGAGAGTGGGTGAGTTAATCTGCATGAGTAAGTAAGTCTGTATGAGTAAGTAAGTCTGCATGAGTAAGTAAGTCTGTATAAGTAAGTAAGTCTGCATGAGTAAGTAGGTCTGCATGAGTAAGTAAGTCTGTATAAGTAAGTAAGTCTGCATGAGTAAGTAGGTCTGCATGAGTAAGTAGGTCTGTATGAGTAAGTAAGTCTGTATAAGTAAGTCTGCATGAGTAAGTAAGTCTGTATAAGTAAGTCTGCATGAGTAAGTAAGTCTGCATAAGTAAGTCTGTATGAGTAAGTTAATCTGCATGAGTAAGTAAGTCTGTATGAGTAAGTTAATCTGCATGAGTAAGTAAGTCTGTATGAGTAAGTCTGCATGAGTAAGTAGGTCTGCATAAGTAAGTTAATCTGTATAAGTAAGTAGGTCTGCATGAGTAAGTAGGTCTGTATGAGTAAGTAAGTCTGCATGAGTAAGTAAGTCTGCATGAGTAAGTCTGCATGAGTAAGTAAGTCTGCATGAGTAAGTAAGTAAGTCTGCATAAGTAAGTCTGCATGAGTAAGTAAGTTTGCATGAGTAAGTTAATCTGCATGAGTAAGTAGGTCTGTATGAGTAAGTACGTCTGCATACGTAAGTAGGTCTGCATGAGTGAGTAGGTCTGCATGAGTAAGTAAGTCTGCATGAATAAGTAAGTCTGCATAAGTAAGTAGGTCTGTATAAGTAAGTCTGCATGAGTAAGTCTGCATGAGTCAGTAAGTCTGCATAAGTAAGTCTGTATGAGTAAGTACGTCTGCATAAGTAAGCAGGTCTGTATAAATAGGTCTGCATGAGTAAGTAAGTCTGCATGAGTAAGTCTGCATGAGTAAGTCTGCATGAGTAAGTAGGTCTGCATGAGTAAGTAAGTCTGCATGAGTAAGTAAGTCTGCATGAGTAAGTAAGTCTGCATGAGTAAGTTAATCTGTATAAGTAAGTAGGTCTGCATGAGTAAGTAGGTCTGTATGAGTAAGTAAGTCTGCATGAGTAAGTAAGTCTGCACAAGTAAGTAGGTCTGTATGAGTAAGTAGGTCTGCATGAGTAAGTAAGTCTGCATGAGTAAGTAAGTTTGCATGAGTAAGTAGGTCTGCATAAGTAAGTAGGTCTGTATGAGTAAGTTAATCTGTATAAGTAAGTAAGTCTGCATGAGTAAGTAAGTCTGCATGAGTAAGTAAGTCTGCATGAGTAAGTAAGTCTGCATAAGTAAGTAGGTCTGCATGAGTAAGTAAGTCTGCATAAGTAAGTAGGTCTGTATAAGTAAGTAAGTCTGCATGAGTAAGTTAATCTGTATAAGTAAGTCTGTATGAGTAAGTAGGTCTGCATGAGTAAGTAGGTCTGTATGAGTAAGTCCGCATAAGTAAGTAGGTCTGTATAAGTAAGTAAGTCTGCATGAGTAAGTAAGTCTGCATGAGTAAGTAGGTCTGCATGAGTAAGTAAGTCTGCATGAGTAAGTAGGCCTGCATGAGTAAATAGGTCTGCATGAGTAAGTAAGTCTGCATGAGTAAGTAAGTCTGCATGAGTAAGTAAGTGCATGAGTAAGTAAGTCTGCATGAGTAAGTAAGTCTGCATGAGTAAGTCTGCATGAGTAAGTCTGCATGAGTAAGTAAGTCTGCATGAGTAAGTAAGTCTGCATGAGTAAGTAAGTCTGCATGAGTAAATAGGTCTGCATGAGTAAGTAAGTCTGCATGAGTAAGTAAGTCTGCATGAGTAAGTAAGTCTGCATGAGTAAGTAGGTCTGCATGAGTAAGTAGGTCTGCATGAGTAAGTAGGTCTGCATGAGTAAATAGGTCTGCATGAGTAAGTAAGTCTGCATGAGTAAATAGGTCTGCATGAGTAAGTAAGTCTGCATGAGTAAGTAAGTCTGCATGAGTAAGTAAGTCTGCATGAGTAAGTAGGTCTGCATGAGTAAGTAAGTCTGCATGAGTAAATAGGTCTGCATGAGTAAGTAAGTCTGCATGAGTAAGTAAGTCTGCATGAGTAAGTAAGTCTGCATGAGTAGGTCTGCATGAGTAAGTAAGTCTGCATGAGTAAGTAGGTCTGCATGAGTAAGTAAGTCTGCATGAGTAAGTAGGTCTGCATGAGTAAGTAAATCTGCATGAGTAAGTAAGTCTGCATGAGTAAGTAAGTCTGCATGAGTAAGTAGGTCTGCATGAGTAAGTAAGTCTGCATGAGTAAGTAGGCCTGCATGAGTAAGTAGGTCTGCATGAGTAAGTAGGTCTGCATGAGTAAGTAGGTCTGCATGAGTAAGTAAGTCTGCATAAGTAAGTGAGTCTGCATGAGTAAGTAAGTCTGCATGAGTAAGTAAGTCTGCATGAGTAAGTAAGTCTGCATGAGTAAGTAGGTCTGCATGAGTAAGTAAGTCTGCATGAGTAAGTAGGTCTGCATGAGTAAGTAAGTCTGCATGAGTAAGTAGGTCTGTATGAGTAAGTAAGTCTGCATGAGTAAGTAAGTCTGCATGAGTAAGTAGGTCTGTATGAGTAAGTAGGTCTGCATGAGTAAGTAAGTCTGCATGAGTATGCGGGGGGATGAGTATGAATGGCGAAGGGTGCGAGAGAAGAAGTTGGATTAGTCGGAGGAGAGACGAGGAGGGAGGTCATAACGACTTAAAACCCAAACAACAACAAGCTGCGGCATGCGAGGCGGGAGGGAGAGGGAGGGAGGGAGAGGGAGGGAGGGGGAGGGAGGGAGAGGGAGGGAGGGGAGGGAGAAGGAGGGAGGGAGAGTTCCCCTACAATAGGGGGATGCAAGAGGAGCCGTGCGTAACGAACCGCGACCCCTTGAGACCACGACCTCTTTTACCAACCCCTGACCGCGACCTTTGGAGCGTGTGACCTATTGACCCCCCGAGACCCTGATGATCTCGACCCGCTGGGGTAAGTTGCATTAAGAACTCATTTTGCGTAGCTTTGTTGCTGCCGAGTTTGCTCTTTAAATCTGAGCCGTTTAAAACGGTCAGTGAAATACTAAAACGGTCACGATTGACCACTGCTGATGCTTGATGACACCCATTACGGAGGAAATCGGTTTGAGAGGGGGTGAACAATCAGATGGGTGGACAATGTGAGCGGTGGATAATCAGAGTGAGTGGTGGACAGTCATTAGTGAGGGGTGAACAATCGTGGTTATAGTAGTGAGAGGGTTGGGCAATCGAAGTGAGCCGTGGGCATGGGGTAAAATTGGTGGACGATCGTGGAAGCAAGTGTGGTGGACAATGAGAGTGAGCGTGGTGGAGCAGTAGCAGCTGCTGTGGCTGCCACCACCCCACAGTTCCCCGAGCACCAACTGTTGAATGCGTAAACACCGCCAGCAGTAACATCCACCACCGCCATCACCACCGCCATCATCACCGCCACCACCGCCATCGCCACCACCGCCATCACCACCACCGCCATCACCACCGCCATCACCACCGTCATCATCACCGCCACCACTGCCATCACCACCACCGCCATCATCACCGCCATCATCACCGCCACCACTGCCATCACCACCACCGCCATCATCACCGCCATCATCAACACCACCACCACCGCCATCATCACCGCCATCATCAACACCACCACCGCCATCATCACCGCCACCACTGCCATCACCACCACTGCCATCATCACCGCCATCATCAACACCACCACCACCATCATCACCGCCATCATCAACACCACCACCACCGCCATCACCACCACCGCCATCATCAACACCACCACTGCCATCATCACCGACGCCACCGCCGAGCGCGTCAGTGCGACTGCCGCTCGGCGTCCAGCAAGAGGGGCTGGATGTGAATTGAGGACCGGTGGCAGTGACAACTCTCGGAGGTGATCATTAGCGCCGGGTGTGGTGCCCACAAGATGCGGACTCCCAGTATGGGGTCATAAATATGCAGTACGCAAAGTGGCTTTTTGCTCCGGTTTCCTCCCGCATACTAAACGCACAAACGCACGCGCAAAGCGCGATTTTGGCTTTTAAAAGTATCAAACGTCCAATTGCCAGGTGCCCTGCTGAAAAGGACGGGAAACATCGCGAGGTTCTCCTGGATTACGCACGATTTTGTTGTCATCATCATCATCAGCATCATCATCTTCGTCGCCGGAGTCATTCAAAGCCGCCACCTAGCTATTGAAAAGGAGTTGGAACAAACATCGCAATGTGGGACGACCCTGGAAACGAGTTGCGGACCCCAGCAGAGTTCCGTGTGTGTGTGTTGGGTTTTTATTTTTTTATTTTCACGGTTGCTGAGCGCGGTTCTGCCCAAAGGACCGTCAAAGCCGTGATGATGGCCCAGCCGCCCGCACTGGAATGTCGCCGTAACCAATCTCGATGTTGCACGGGTCCCCTCCTCTAGTCGGGTGTTGGTGAAGGCCACCGTCCAGGGGCGATCCCTAGGCACGCTGTAGCGCATCTCCGTTATGCCCGAGGCTGTGCACGCACTTTGTTTACTCGCTTCATAAACGTGATATCTTCTTTTACGCCGTTGTTGTTGTTGATTTGTACGAAACCGTTTATCG